CCCCAAAACCCCAAAACCCCAAAACCCCAAAACCCCATCATTAATGAATTTTCGTTATAAAATGCTCGGTAATGATAATAAATCAAGTTCAGTTTAATAATGGTATTATTATAGAATGCATTAGTTATTTAAAATTGTTATGAAATAATTTTACCTTATAGTTAAATATGATCATTTAGATAAATTCAATTGAGTGTCTCTCTAATTTCAATATGCAAGAGCAAGCTACAGATGCATATTTGGCTGAAACTGAGTTATAGACTTAAAATTCTCTAATTATTAATCAAGCGTCATCACTGATTAAATTTTTGAAACATTTAGGTTAAAGTTTCTTTTATAAAATCCATGTCATTTTAGAGTTTTAAAACCTTTTAGTCGAATTCCTAAAACTTTAGATCCAATTTACCATTTAATGCTAAGACTTTACCGTCTATTGATTCAACTTTACCTTCTACTCCTGAAACTTTACCGTTTAGTCCTTCAAATTTTCCATCAAGTGTTTCAACTCTTGAGATGATATTGATATTGATTGATTCTCTATCTCTAAACGAAGTTTCAATATTTTCTTTAATTTTTTGAATTTAATCCCCAAGATTTTCATTCAAACAAATTATCTTTTTGTTTAACTCCATTCCTCCATCTATTTTTCCTAATGATGCTTAAAAACTATTAATTATTTCACCCTTTGATTTTGCAGCTGTGTTTCTGATTGTTTATTTCAAATCTTTGATAAATCCTTGCCATTCCCCAGCATCTATAGATGAGTTGTTGATTTATTTTCTCACTACAATAAATTAAGGGAATATCTCTTCTTTCTTAAGGTCTGCCTCTGAAAACAGCTGTTCTCTTTCAACTATCATATTTGCTTTTACTCTATAAGATTCAGCCACTAGTTTCTACATTACTCTTTCATAAGATTCAGAAATAACGGCAATAATAAAATTCATGAAAACAATATTTAGAGTCATAACTGCAATGAGCCAGATCATCCAAGTAAATATGACCAATAAATCATCTTGATTATGAAAATCATCAAGTTAGAAATCACCAGATGAAATTCTGAATGCCATTAAAAAGTATGCTAATTTATTAACCCCATTATATTCATCGATTTATTGAGCCTTAAAGAGAACTAAAAACATCATTCCAAATTGCAAAATAAAAATCATAAAGAAGATTATGAAGTACTTCAAGTCTTTAAATACTCCAGCCATCATTTGTACGAGAAAGCTGAATCCATCAAATATCCTTAAGAAGAAAAAAAGTTTCATAAATGAAAGAATTATCACTAAAATCTTAACCAAAATTAAATAGTCTTTGCTTTCATCAGTAAAGTCAAGAATGCAATAAGCTATGAATGCTATAATGTGAGTAAAATCAAAATAGTTCCATGCATCAATAAAGTAGCTTCTCTTCTGGACAATTAATTATTTCACTTCATGAATTAAAAAGTAAAAGAGCACGATTGAACAAATTATTTTAGCTAAAATCTTTATCCAGATGTCCATTTACGAAGACTTAGTATCAATCATATTTTAATATGATCCATCTTAGTTATTGTTATCACTATTTGAATAAGTTAAATAGAATATATCTATGATAAAAGTAGACATGAATACCAGGTAATAATAGAACTTTTCTTGATAAAATAACTTTGTATATGTATTCCATTTATAATTAATAATGTTCTAAATGACTTAATTCTCAAAGTATTCTGGTCTTTCTGCTTCACTCAGTACTTTCATCAAATCTCTAGGACTTTCTGTTAATGCAACTGGCAAATTTATCAAATGATATTCTACTGAGACAAGAGAGTCATTTTAATCATTTGAATGATATACCTTATCACCAAAAATATATTAGTATTTGTCATGAATTTCCTTCTAATTATTCAAGTTTATACCAACTCTAATTTCTCTATCGTCATGATGTTGACTTGGAAAAGATTAATCAAGAATTTCATAAATTGCCAACTTACTATCGAAATATTCCTGCAAGTCAATCTATTATTTTATTAGCTCACACAAATGCTTGTCTATCAGAGCATTAAAAATTATATGATCTTGATATTTAATTATCACACATAGAATAAGATTGATAATTTTTTGTTGTCGAGCTTTAATTGAAAAATCCAACGGAGATTCTCCTCCTAAAAGATTCTAGCATATTAAGATGGGCAAATTATCCTTATCTTTTAGAGACAACAATTTCATGATTATCTCAAGAATGACCAAATTATTTTAAAACACCCCAAAGCATGTTCCAAACCCAGCAACAAACTTCAGATATTTATCAATACTAGATTATAGTTTCTTGATAATCTCTTCATTGGTTAAGGCTTTTATATTCATATAATCTTAAATAATATCATCAGTAATTTAAATATCGAAATATCCTACCCTTTAATTTTCGCCTTTCACAAAATATTCCACAACTCCTGTTGAATCAATGATTATTTTTTCTAAAAACCTAAAATGGAGAGCAAGATGTACAGGTTGAATAAGTGATTCCCCTTTAAGAAAAGTTTCAAATGAATTTTAAACAAAATAACTTAGTACTTCATTATTTTAATGATCTCTTTAAGTTAATACTATTAGTTATTTCTTATTTATTTAATAAGCATATTATTTATTTTTCTTTTCATCAACTTTAATTTTGTGATTCAATTTGATTTCAACTTATTAATCTATTTATTTATTTTTGAAAAATAAAATATTTTAGGTAAAATTATAATTAACTTGAATGTAATTATTTCCAATTAAGACACTCTTCATTTTTTTCTTCTTTTCAAAGATTAAAGATTTTGAATCAAGGCTTATTATTCTAACAAAAAGCTCGTATTAAAGTATTAGAATATTTAAATTTTTATCATCTAAAAGTGAGATCAATAGTTTATCATCATTTGAATAAATATTTGCCTCAATTTAAATTGAATTAAATTTTTAGGCCATTTTATCAAAATAAAAAAGGCTATTGTCACACAAAATTCCAGCAACATATTGATTTTCATTATATCTATTTTACATTATACAAAATTAGTATTATTATTATTTATCGTCTATCAATTTATTTTTTTTTCTAAAAAATGATTTCCATACAACTTTACGATTACTATTAAGATATATGAATTTTTTATCTCTATAAATTATAAGATCATCTTAATTAATATCCTTTACTGTTTCATAATCTTCCTCAAATGATCCAATTATATTATTATTACTATTTCCCCATAATAAAGTCTCTTCGTATGTTTCAGGATTAAAAAATAAAAAATTTTAACAAAGATGATTTTCTAATATTTCTTTTTAATTTTCTTCAATTTTGTACTACATTCCTGAAAATGCATCTTAAAGTATAGATTCACTCTTATTTTTATTTTTAAAGATTATAAAATTAATTCCATTTCTTTTAAATTATCCATCTAAAACCTTTTTGCTTTCATATATAATTGGAGTAATATTCATATCGTCTTAAAAGCAATTGTTATATCTTAAATATTCAATAGATTTCTTATTTTATTTTTCATTTATGAAATAAAAAATACAATTTGTTGAATCTATATAAGTTGCACCATATTCTTAATATTTTAATGAGAACTAATTTATTAATCGAAAATTTCATGAACAAAATATTAGAAGGGATATCTAACCATCTAATAATCTACACTGAATAATTATTTAGTTTGATGTGGTTGAGATTTCTAGAATATTATTAATAGTTGATTGATAAATTCTCTGTAATTATTTTAATTCCTTTTTTTCAGCATTATAGCAGCATATATTAAAATCTTAGTCTATTAGAAATCTGTAAAAATCAAAATAGCTAATAGGAAAATATAATTTGTCAAATACTTAATCTATTTCAACGGTTTATTTGTTAAATAAAAGAGTTTTATTTTAACTATTAATTACATAGTGTTACTCCAAGCTATTCCTGTCGAAAGCTCATCCTTATACTTGGTTTATTAAAATATATTAATTTTAATCATTAACTTTTCTAGCTTTATTGTCATAATTGTAGTTTTCAATCTTAAATGTTAGCATAGAGCCATAGGCATCTTTAAATGTGCTATTATATTGGTTTAAACGAAATAATATAATGGAATTAGCCATTTTTTATCTATCATCTTAACCTTCTAACTAAATTATAACATCGAAATTATCATAGATAGAAGCCTTAATCAGACATAGAGGCTCTTTCTATTCTATTTCAAATAATTGCTTGAGCTTATATCATTAAAATTCTTCAACTATATGTAAGTATATTTCTCCGCTGCCATATTAGAAAAATATATAATCAACTTTATTAAAATGCTAATAAATAATATTTGAATCTCTATACATTTTAAAACCTTATATAAACTAATAAGGATCTATCTAAATTAAATTTAACCATTTTTGTGATGATTTTTTATCATAACTTTAAAATATTATCAAATTTTTATTTTTTAATATAAAAAGTTAAAGAATTTCAGTAATATCTGGATCAAGATTTAATGAAATTTGTTTAATTCTACTATCCTTTTGTGAATAATCAACTTCTTCATATTTATCAAATATCCATGTGTAATCGATAGGAAGGATATTAATATCATTGTTTTATATTTTAGGATTTAATTCTTTTTCATATCCATCCAGCAAGGCCAGCTTTTCATCAGAGAATCTCTAGAGTTGCATTTTTTAGATTCTAAATATTAATTAAATTTTTACTTTTTCCAGGGTTTAAATAGTTCTCATTTGTTATCATATCAGAAATTTAAGTAATTAATTGATGAAAATTTAAATTGTTTGAAACTGATGAAATTAAAGTTTTAAATTGGTGAAAATTAAATTAGTAGAAATTAAGTGAAATCCTAATTGTTCAATGATATAAATTTAATTTAATAATTTAATATATTTTTATTCTATAATAAAATTAATAACATTCTATTGAAATGATATACTTAATCATGGGGTTTTGGGGTTTTGGGGTTT